ATTGGCCTTGTTCAAAAACGGAGGATGATGCCATTAGACCATAAAGCAGTAGATGCCTAGGCCATTACTGTACTGCCAAATCACAACATTACCTAAGGGCCAAACCACTGAGAATCATGGCTCAGCCAAATGAACGCAGAACCTTCACCATCGCATCGAGTGCGACTCTCACCTTGCACCTTGGCATGCATTATGGCATCAATGCCCCAAATGTCAGACAGTCGCTTTCTTGACTACTGTTGCCAGTATGCATTGGCAGATAACAAGAGAGGCAGGAAGGGAGGAGTCAAGGGAGGGAAGCCTGGAGGCGGCCCTCCTGTGGGACATATAGGTGGAGACCCGGCTTGCACAGTTGAGATGTTCCATCTGTACAAGATACAGCACGAGGGGCTGAGGCCAGGCCCCAGGGAAGTCCGAGGGCCGGCCAGCCACATCCCTGCTTGCCAAGTTCCAGCTGCTCCCGCCAACAGTGACTCAATGTGCTAACAGGCCTAACCAGGAGATGCTCCCAGTGGGGGTCTTACCGTAGCAGAAAGTACACCTCTGGAGACGCTCTAGTGCTGGCGCGTAGTTGGTCCCCGATGGAACGACGATGACTTGAAATGTGCCCGTGTCGTCGATCTGCAAGGAGCGGAAGCCAGGGAGAGGACACCTTAGTGGGTGGGGCTGCAAAACCCTTCCATCATGGCTTAGACAATCGAGGTCTGCAGAGGCCAAGGTCATGGTTGGCACAGCGTGTCAAGGAGGCAAGGACCGTTGCCTCCGCTTAAAACCCCAACACTCCCTTTAGTCCTCAGGCCGGTACTTTCCCTCCCTGGTCCTTCCTCTGAACAGTAGGAAGGCTAGTCAGACCACACCATTCCCGTTAAGTCGATGCACGGTGACCTCCTGCATACGGAGGACTGCCCCATGGAGGCTGTTTATGGAACTGCATCACCTGGCCGCCTGTGGCACTGTGTGGGTGGGTTCACACAGCTGGCCTTGAGCTTCACAGTCATGAGCAAATCATTTGTTTTACCCAGATGCCTGCTGGAGCAACAACAGACTACCCAACAGAGGGTTACTGGGAGTGTTCAATAAGTTCATAACGGTAAGGCACTTTCCAGCACTGGGTGAGTGCCTCTTGGGTCACTGGAGGCCACCTGACAGTGTACCAAGCTGTTAAGATCTGTGATCTCAACCAAACAGTAAGTGGGTTCTAGTCACCACCCGTTTGACAGAGGAAGCAACAGAAGCTCAGGAAGAGGTGAAGGCAATGAGTGCAGGGAAGAAGAGCATCTTCCACAGTTGCTGGTGGTGATGCATGTACAACTCTTCTCGATACGACAGAACCATTGGACTCTATGGTGTGGATGATGTGCCAATGAAAGTGTTGAAAAGAAAAAGGCAGAGAGACAGATGAAAGGATACTGGGACACTGAAGCCGTTTAAAGAAGAGGATCAGAACCCCACCCCAGCCCGGACCCCTCAAGCACCAGAGAACTCTGTGACTGTTATAACCAGTTTTGAACTCTCACTCTAAATCAGGTATTGATGGTCTTGAAATGGAGAGACAGACCCCCTTCCA